TACGTGCGTGCGTGCGTACGTGCGTGCGTGCGTGCGTGCGTGCGGGCGGGCGTGCGTGCGCGCGCACGGCCACGTGGGCGAACACGCTCTCCGTCGGCGTACCTGCCGCGCGCATGGTAAAAGAGTACGCGAGAGGTCGGGCGAGGGTGAGGCGGGCTACGTGGGACCGGCGGTGGTGCCCCGAGGATCGGGATTCGAGTCGTGAGCTCCAGGGATCCGTTCGCGAGAGGATCGAAGAACGCGCGAGATTGCCCGCGCGAACCGGAGCGCCCCGGTACGAGGATATAGATAAGGCACTGGGACTGTCGAGATTGTCCGAATTAACGAAATAAAGAGAGAGAGAGAGAGAGAGAGAGAGAGAGAGAGAGAGAAAGAGAGAAGAGAGAGAACGAGAGATAGTCCGTCAGACATGAACGTTACTCCGATGGTGGAGATACCCGGCAATGACAGCTTCAGCAACGGTCTCGACTGTGGCGGTGAGCCCCATCAATACGCGGTATGGGAGCGTGTGACGATAGTGGTGATCGCCGTCATCCTCAGCCTCACCACGGTCGTCGGCAACATTATGGTCATGATATCGTTCAAGATCGACAAGAATCTGCAGACGATCTCCAACTATTTCCTCTTCAGCCTGGCGGTGGCCGACTTCGCGATCGGCCTAATCTCCATGCCCCTCTTTACGATATACACGGTACTCGGTTACTGGCCGCTCGGGCCCCTCGTGTGCGACACGTGGCTCGCCCTCGACTATCTCGCGAGTAATGCGTCGGTCCTTAATCTGCTCATTATCAGCTTCGACAGATATTTCTCCGTCACGCGTCCGCTTACGTATCGGGCCAAGAGGACCACCATCAAAGCCTCCGTCATGATCGGTGAGTATATACGTATTGAATTTATGAAATGAAGTGAGACGTAAAAAAAAATTATATATAATTATAGGAAACCCCTGAATTGTTTTTCCGTCTGGAGAAATCATGGAATTTTCGATGGACTTTCGAGTTCCAAGAATTTTTTGTCGAAATTGTCTCTCTTCGGAGATTTTGCTTTTAATTCTTAATTCACACGATGAGTCGTCCGTGTTCCGAATTATTTTGTGTCACTTTTACGAGTATACCAATTTTAACATCGTTAAAATGTATTTGTGAGGTTGTATTTAAAAAATTATACATATATAAATGTTGTAACTAATTATACTTGGTGCTCCTGGTATTTCAAAGAGAAGAAATGCGCAACACTGATCCAATCGTGTACTAAGAGTTATATATATATATAATTAGCGATTTAAAACTGCTTCATTTTTGCCTAAAAAATCAACAAATTTTTAAGTCATTCTTTTTTAAAAAGTTCGAATAGACATTGATCAAATAATTTGTATCGTATTTATAATAAATTAATTCCAATATATTATAGAAAGTTGCGCGGTTTATGGGTTATTTCCGTGACTTGATACATCGTTAAATGCTAACGTTTCGTGAACATTGTAGTATCGTGAACGTTATAGTTCGCTTGAACAGGGCGAGAAGCAATCTGATACTGATCAGTATAAGGTTGCTTCTCGCCCTGATAAGTGATCTGCAATATTCACGAAACGTTGGCATTTAACGACGTATCAAGTCACAGAGATAACCCATAAACCCCGCATAACTTCCTTAAAGAAAATACTCGTGGAAGCCTCAAAAGTATGCTTCAATACACCCGCTAACCATAAAGTAACATACACTATACATTAATGTTATACAAAAAGAAATTTTACCAAAGTATCTAAAAATTGATACTGATCTGAAGATAATTTTGTTTGGACTATCAAAATAATTATATAGAGCACTTAAATTGTTGACTAGAATTAAAACTTTTCGCAGCATTGCCGTCAACGTTCGAATGTTCTACATAATTGTTTTGGTTCAACAAAATTATTTTCACATCTGTATTTAGCTGAATTTTTTGATTTTTTTTAGCAACCGTTTTTTCCGTGTATAATTTTCTATTCAACAATGTAATTGTCGTGCACGACACACGCACACACACACACGCGCACACACACACACACACACACACACACACAC